CTTCGCGAACTCCCCTTGTTCGATGGGGCGGATCCACGCGAGCTGCTCTTTGGTCACCGGTCCAGACTTTCTGGGTCTGACTTTGCAGTCCCGAGAATCCGATCGGTGGGGTCCCCCACAGTTGCGACACTTTGTGAGGGCCTTGCACTCGGCTTCCGAGTGCATGTTTGATCCGCAGTTCCAGCACGGTGGGGCGCGGGAGCAACCACGGGTGGCGTGGAAGCCCAAACAGCGTTTGCACTGTTCAATTTGGCGACGAGGCTGGATCTTTGTAGCCGCTCCGGACTCGTCGAGAATTCGGAAGCCCGCACGAGGGGCGGAGTCCCGGTTGAAAAGGGCATACCAGTTTCTGTATGGCGCTCCAGGACGACATGTCCCGTGCGGTCGCACCTGGCATGGACGTCGTTGTGTTTTGCGGTAAATCTCCAGTGAGATCCTACCGGCATCGACCGTCTCAATACGGTTGATTAATTTTATAGTCGCTGGAACATTCGCGATCCGAAAGGCGACAAGGTTGGAGGCTTCCTCGATTTTGGCATTGAAGTCCAACAACTTCGGTGAGGCATCTAAGAGCTCTTCCCTTTCATTTTCATCCGCTGTCAGAATCGCAAATCCGGTTCTGGCACGGTGTATAGAGCTTTTTTCACTCAAGGTGTACAGTAGCCTACTACATAATTGATGCCTTATGCCGTCAGGCGAAAGCTGGCGCCATGGGTGATCGCTCTCTAAGCGAAGGAACAGTCGTTTGTCGACTTTAGCCTTCGGAGCTTCTTTATTTTGGGTTTTTGCCGCAGGTCGCGGAACAGCCTTTACAGTTGGGACTGCTTTTTGTTGCAGTCCATTTCTGGCCACCGTGGTCCAGGTGCTTTTTATAGGCAGCGCTGGGACGGCGGAAATCGTTGTGCTCCTGACGTCGGGAGCCCTTGGGATCGGGTTCGCCGGGCGAGGAGGGAGGACGGGTGGCGTGGAGGCCGGGCCCGTGGCCATGTATTGCGCGATGGCTGCGCGTAGGTAGACTGTCATCGAGTCTACAAATTGTCTGTTTGACCCGTTGGTCAAAGGAAGAAGGTTGACTTCGACGCCAGAGATGGCGGCGGAGCAGAGGGTCAGATTTGCCGCTGTTTCGGCGGCACGTCGTTGCTCGGCTTCGATAATGGGTCGAAGTTCCGGAGGGCAATCTGCTTTCGTGGCAGCTTTGGGCTGCGACGTTGATTTTGACGCTGCTTTGGGTGCAGCGTTCTCCGACAGTTTTGGCGCGGTCGGGGAAGATTTTGACGATTCTCCAATCCCGTGGGGGACGGAGGATGGTTGAGGAATTGCCTCAACAATTTCGACTGACCCGATCATGTCAGTATCGGGTTCAGTGACGGTGGGGAGGGCTTTTTCCTTCCCTTTGGTAGAGACGTTGCTCATCTCCGCGCATTTCGGAGACTGGGCAAGGTCAGGTAATTGTTGGAGAGCCCTCGGGTGGACTCTCGTGTTGTCCAACTTGACGTTGGGGCGCTTTTTGCGAACTGGAGGCATGGTGAAAATGCCTGAGCTCGATCACAATTCAGAGATAGATGCGACGAGGTCGAGAAGGGAGGAAAGAGGGAAAAAATGAATTTTCGAATTTCTCGAATTGATGAAGGGCTTGGTTGTTGAGTTTCCTATTATTTCTGTGTTGGGATACACTTTGTCGATCCTACTAGGCTCGATAATTAGTAGTCCCGACCGACTGGTGTTTGGCGAACAGAGATTGCGTATACCCTGTGCTAGCGTTGTTTACTGCTGTTAATAGGAGATCCCGCACGGGCTATCTATTGGGGTTAAAAGGAATCTGGTACCTGTGTTTAATAGAGTAGTCGAATTGAAATCCTTTTATCCTTCATTATTGCATAAGCTTCCCTTTACCAATAAAGTCCGCGAATTAAGTAGTGGGTTATACATTTCAATAGTACAGGTGTCTTCTTCCCAAGTGGAGTAGATACCCAGGCTACTCAAACTATAGCAGAGAACATCACCAGGTGGCGGACCACGGCACCTTTCAACGTCGACTTGTGTTCACAGTGTCAGCTGCACTCTAGCAAGCGAAGTCATGTCGTGCGCAAAGCTCAATTCGTAAAACTCATTGCCAAAATTCAGAACTTCACGCCCTTCGAGGTAATATCCTTCCTTTGCATCATCTTGTGAACTTGTCCTGATCCCTCTCACGTCCATCCCAAAGAACTGCCTCATAGATTTTTGCGCCATGCTTTGTATCCTCCGCCGAGTATAAATATCGACGAGGGCATGTATTTGGCGACCAGCTGAGACGAGAATAGTCGAATATAGGTGCAGTCATTGGAATGAGAATATGCTCGGTCGTACTTGTAGACTTGATGAGACTCAGATAGGAGTCAAACTCGCTGAGAGTGAGAATTGACGTGATGGAGTAATTTGAATCATTGCCTCGTGGGCCAACTTCTTCGTAATTGCGAAATTTGACTGAACTTGGCTCTTGGAGAATATTTCACTCATAGTTTCGAAGAAGATACCGTGTACAGGTGTTAAATCTTTGCCCTCGGTACATTAACCTCGTTCATCGGAACTCCGATGAAAATTAAATGCGCATTCGTAATTGAGTTGGAACTTGTAAGTCGACATTCCCTTTTCGGACTATGATTACCCAGGACATGTAGGCCTTTTCTGCCCTCAAGCCAAGGATCTGATCCCTCCTTTACAGCCCCTTCGCACCGGTGCTCTTGACAAGTCCTCATTTGCCTCTCATCGTCTTCCCATCCTACTCACGAAATGAAGGTCATCTGCGGGCGTGTTGCAGCTAATGAAAACCCAAAAAATCCCACAAAGTACAAGGCTCAAACATTACCGATATTTGGTCAAGAAATTATGGGCCCCCAGTCATTGAGGTTTTCTTTTAATCCATTAAGTGTATGTAGCCTAACTAGCCATGAAATTATTATTAAGGGTGTAGAGTGCATTCGTTCAACTATATAGCCAAAAATAAAAATGTGCTTTGGAGTCAAGTATGTATCGACAGCGTGGCTTGCTTGATCGCCTCAATTATTCCAACTTCTGAAAATATTAGCAATGAGTTTGAAGATGTAGCTGCCCTTCTAAAGTATTCCGAGAGACTATCATCCGACCGCTACAGAGGTTATTGTACCAAAAGACAAGTACTCTATGCGTTCTTATTCTTTTTAACACTCCTCGCTTGTCCACTCCTCGATATAGACTGGATGTAGGGTGGAAAATGTTGGTACAGTCTCGAAAGAGATTGTGTGACTTTGAATGACTTAGACTTATGTATCAAAAGTACCTTGTACTGTGGAGTTCTCAATGGACATTGTAAGTATAGGACCCCTCATGGATTGCGTTTGATTCGATACCACCTCTGTAGGCTCTAGGATGAGAGCAGAAGGTTCGTAGGGGAGACTCCCGACAAGTATTGAGTCTTCGTTTCCTCATGGTCCTGCATTTTTGTAACACGCGTCGACAAGAAAATGGCTCACTGGAGTCTAGTGATAAGAAGGGACTAATGAAATCATGCCCATGGATACCCGACATTCAGACGGATTTAGAATTCACATGTTAACCTCAAGCTCCATATAAGGTTCGTTTTAAAGGAAGGTCGATACTTGCAACGATACTTTGTGACCATTTCTATCGTGATGGAGGTAAAAGACTGAAAACAAGCTACATAGCGTGAAGGTGCTCTTTGTACTAGCGCATGTTGTGTAGAGATTGTCACTTGTATCAGAATTCTATACTCCCCCCAGGCCAAAGGTATCTAGCCTCCTGAATATGCGAGGTCTCTCTTCCCCTCGACTTTATTTAGACCTACTTTGGCAGCTAGGTCAAGGCGAAAATGTGGGACTGAGTTTGAATTTGATCAATGACGACGTAACATTGAATTTGTATGCGAACAGCTTTTGCATTCCGAAGAACCAGCCACTCATTGCCGTCCGAGGTCGATGTTAAAGTAAGTCATTGTAGCTTGTTTAGTCCAACTTAATATCACGCTTTGCTTCACCCCTTTCTCTCCGAGTGTCTTCGGTATTCGCGGATAGTAATAATGCAACATTATTGGAATGCTTCATGGCTATTGGATAATTGTGGAACCGTAGGACTGCAGCTTGGCCGCCGTATCAATATTGAAACATGCAGAAATCAGTTAGAGGCGTTAGAATACACCTCTGAGTAGATTTCCGATATTATCAAACAAATCTCCCGGAAGTCTTTGCTTAGAAGGTTAAAATAGAGTTGCATCACACCAGTATCAGAATTGTAGGAAATCCAAAAATAATCAATTTGTTCTGAGACTGCTCGAAATCTTCTGACTTATCATATCTATCAAACTCCCCGCCACAATTCTAAAATGTATGCGTAGGCTGGCTTTTGGTTTCAGAGGTTTGCGTACTTATGACAGAGATCATGTATCATGTCAATTGTGTATATCTTCTACAAATTTACATCGAGTTCAAGCGCATGAACTTCTATCGGCTTAGACAGCGTTTACAGCTCTGTAATACTTTGCTTAACATTCGAAATTTTTTAAATAGTCTATTTGGGAAGTTCAATAAAAGATTTAAAATTGACTTCCTGTGTTCAAGCGACTTCATGCAATGATAAAGTGGAATATTTAAAAGACAATTTATTGAAAAGACGAGCGCTATAAGATGATATTTGACTGAATTGAATAAAAAGTTGCTAAAAACCAACAAACAATCCCCACCGCGTTATTTCTCGGTATAATAAAGTATAATGATTAGTTACTTTTTGAACGTATTTTTTCATTCTTATGCTCTAGCTATCCTAGACAGCTGGTAGGAATTTTTTTACCGAATAGATATTTCTTTAAGGTTATATTTTACCTTCATCTTCACATTCCAGTGTGGACACCAGTACTACTTAGAGGCTAAGAGTATGCGTTTTGAAGATTTTCTGGGCAAGCAAGATACGTTAAATGTCGAGTGTGCTTGATCGTATGATCGAGAATTGGACGAAAGTAGAATATTTCGTTACCAGAACGCATAGGTGCTCGAAAATGACTTCATGGATCGGTTGCTTGTTTTGGATTTGGTGCTGCTCGACATGGACTTAGTAGAGTCAATGCTTGAGCGAGAGTTATAACTCGCTGTCGAGCCATGCCGAGACGAAGTCATACGAGACGAGGTGGAGCTCGTTGAGCTAGTGCGAGATGAACTAAATCCAAAGTCAGGGTGCGGGCCAGGCATATTCTCCCAAGGCAGAGAGGCTGTGACCGAAGAATTGGCACGTTTCTGCCTCTGGGTAGCAAGTTGCGCTTGATTGGTAGCGACGAGCGAGCGAACTCTACGAGTTCTTAGGTCTTGAGCACTATATTCTTGTCTACCGAGCTTTTGATCATCTCGAGCTAAAGCCAACGGAAGATCGTGAATTGGCTCAGAGAGAGCTGCAGGATCACTTTACAACATGTTAGTCTATGAAGTAGAGAATTTGAGACGGCTGCCTAGACTGTGCTAAAAAGATGGGTTGTGTGTGCAAACACCGGGAGAGATTCTCGAATAATATATTCGGAAGTAAATTTATGAATGAGAGAGACATCTGATTGTTCAAACATAATATCTTTTGAAGGTCAAAGAGTAAAAGTATTAAAGCGCAATTGGAGCAAGAGAAGTTTGACAATGGCAAGAGAGTTGCCGATTGCATGAAATATAAGTTTTGTAGATGTAGTAATGAGGCGATCAGGATGTAGTGACAAAAATAAGAAAAAGGATTATCCAACTTACTCGAAGTTTCCTGAGGTGCGATGCAAATTATTGACTCGAGGCTGTTCGCAAGAGGTGCTCATAGGAAATACCTTCGTCTTGGGAGATATAAGAGCCATGGTGTAGATGTGATAGTAATCTCAAATAGATGCCAAAATATGTTTATAGATTACTTGGTATGCAACAAAGACGTAAAGCACAAGCGAACGAGAAGGATGATAAGCTTTAAAATAGTCTGCCGAGAACTTGATGAAAATGTAATGAAGTGGGGGTGGTGATGAATAAAGGGCTGAGATTTAGTTCTTATCTCCTGGCAAAGGCCAGCTCATTGGGAGGTCGGGCACAGCAAAAACACTCGTCTCTAAATGAACGCTGTAAATTGTTTGAGAAGACCAAGCTCTAGCCACGAACGTGGATCCCGGTTGAAACTGCGAGATAATTTTGGTTTTCTAGACCAGCCGGTCGGTTACTAAAGCGCATGATAATTGACGAGCTGGATCTTCTTGATTTGGTAAACTGGAAACCGAGCATATCCTGAATCCATGTCGCGAGATGGAGGCCGTAAATATCAGCTATTATTGTTTGAGCAGTGTTTGAGTTATGGGATTGCGAGTCGTCTGGCTGCATTTGTATATAGGATCCATGGCGGGATAAGGACATCTTCACCACACATCTATGGCTGCAGGGAAGAGGTGGTTGGTTGACGTTGATGCCAGAGTAGTTTCAGTGGAGACTATGGGCCTTGACTGGAAATAGGCGAGCACGGAACTCTCACGGACTTTTCACGGACTAGCGCCCTCGTCGCGTCGCTTGACGGATAGTTGTCGGCAGTGCCCCACACCTATAACCCCGCACACATGTAAGGCTACGAGATTCCATCCACAGCCACACTACTTTGCGCCACTCTCAAGGGCAATATTAGCGGTTAGGGAGACACTCGGCATTTAGGAGTTATTGATTATTGTTTATGATGCGCGGCGGGTGTATAAGTGGCCCAGTGTGCGAGGTGATTCTCATTCGGCTCCACTTTCACGCAGCTGAGGAGACACTGTGGGACCGCCCACTTGGAATTATCAATGAATTTAGCCAGCATCATCCAGAACGGCGAGTCTACCACGCCTAGGCCGAGCGCCTGGTCCACGTAATACGATCAGTATTAACCCCAAGTCTATATCAAATTTCGGTCGACGCATGTTGAGCGCGTCTGACATCTATCTGAATCGGCTTTCGGCTTGTCATGTTGAACATATCGTCTATTTGGGGCTAGAAGTCTGTTCATTTTTTCCTCATACTTTCTTACGTGAAGCCTGCTTAACTCCTCAAGATGGTTACATGGCTTCCATATTACCGGTCAAAATCCACTCCTAGGCCAAGAAGACATGCGGAGACAACCTGTGTCTTGGAGAATCCCAGCTGTTTCAATCATTTTTTTGAGACGGGAGCACCCTCACTTTATCTGAGTTACTCTGTTAATTCAAGTCAAGCTCTCTGCACCGCTTCGAAATTCAGCCCAGAACACCTCGCCGTTCAAATACCACGACCCTTCGGCAAAGTGAGGCATCAGCGCCCAGGTATGAATGTCCCAAAATATAAATTCATAGTATAGGCCAAACGTGGATGTCAGAAGCACAGCGAACGGGTAAAGATGTTGAAAATGCAACGATTTGTACCTGAAAATAAATATGCTTCGTACCCATCTGACGCTTTTTCATTTTGAGATTTTACTCCCACACTCCTAGCTGCTTGTTGTGGTCAAGTATCCCAGTTAACCGGCACCCTCGGCCCCCGCAAGGATTTATAAATAACAAGGGGCCGAGCTCGGTCAGGTTGACTGCCCTCTACCAAGCGATGAACCCCGACCCAAGTCGTTTTTCGAGTAACCCCGTACTTCACTCCGGCACTGAATCATGTCGCGTCCGACAATCTGTTGTGTTCAAGGGATAGCGTAAAGAAGATTGTGCATACCCGCACAAGCAATATGCAGTGGTAAGGTGAAAACGTGTCAGTGCGGACTGCGGCACGCACAGGAATAGCCACCCTTTAATTGGCGAATTGTACGCTGACAAGATGTAGGGGCCGTTAAGTTATCAGGCGTGGCACGAATAAAAATTGGTGGATAACCGTCATATATTTCTCAGATGCAAGTCTTCTCATAAATCACAAAATACAAAGTAAACTAAATTAAATAGCACCAACTCCTAAGCTGATGCTTGACATATCAAAAACCAAGACCACCCAACCCGAGGATCGCATGTTCTTTTGACTCGGCCTCGATCATACGAGGAAATGTAAGTTTTGACACTCCATCAAAGTCAGTCTAGTAAGAAACAAGAAAACGTTCAATCTCACAGCCATCCAAGACTCGATATCCTGAACTGTAGTTGGAGGCGTAGCTCGAGTACTAGGCGCACAATTAAAGATAGACTGGTAGGTCTCTACCCATCCCAAGAGAAATGCAATCCTCTATCTATACATGCGGCGATAAAAGCTACCTGAGCTAGAAATATCTAGAGCAATCTACGACGCTTTTTTTTTTAAATCATTTAATGTGTATTCAGCTATCTAGCTATGACACATGACCGGTGCTATGTATACATATTGGACGACTCTTTTGACGTTAGAGACTCTCATGCTCTATATTTCATTCGCAAATACCACTATGAGGTATGCTTGCTTACACAAACAGTCGACCCTCCTCCGTAAGTACCCACCAAAGGGAATTTCGAAAATTTTGGTTATCCAAGCATGCCTTCGTCATCCATGCATACCAGCGCCGCGAGAAATGTGGTTGTGTTTTGCCGGATTTGAACCAGCGATCTACTGTCTCAAGTGGGATATGTGTCCAAGCTATCCAGACTCTACTTGGTAGACCGACCAAGACGATGTACCACCGCACCATCCAACCACGGTGATGTTTAAAGTGTCGCCTGCACTCAATCTACGACGCTTCTTTAATACATAAGTCGCATTTCATTGTGAGTGTGGCATCGATTGTGGCCATGGACAGAATCCGAGTCTCCGTCAAGTTATGGCCGAGGCAGTGTTTCTAAAATTTTCTTTTGTCATTCTGTGACTATGTGTAACGCGCCGGTCCCTTCTGACTTAGGCTAAAGTCGACTGTACTTAGCGCCGTATAAACTCTCCAATGCTTCTTTTCAGCGTACCATTCCTTCCAAGTCTTCATTTTAGTATACACTTAGAGGAGCCATTCGCCTTTCATCGTCTTCTAAATCGATCACGAAAAGAAGCCCATGTGCGGGTTGACGGTGGCCAGGGTAATTGAATAGATGGCAAGGAGTCGCAAGGCTCTCTGAATACCTGCTGGCTCTTATGGATAGAAAAAGTAAATTTGTCAAAATGACTGGGATTATACAACAGTAAATATGGATTTGATTGGTTTGGTCCTCATGTATGCCCGTGTCTAGTTCGCCCACTAGTTATGCGAGCAAGGGTACTATCCAATGATATTCCGTTAAAGTCGAAAATTAATGGGGTCGGATTTCAACTCTAAAGGAAATGTACAATGGTCCTCATTTAAAATAAAAAAATACAAAAATCAATTTTGATTTTATGTCATCTAGCCCGATCAGGTACCCTATGGGCCCATGCAGGTATATCTAGCTATTATATTTACAAGGGAGGAGTGAGTGAGTGAGTGTTTATTGTCCTAAAAAGTCTATAACTATGTAAGGACATATAGGTCTTTTCTGCCCTCAAGCCAAGGATCTGATGCCTCCTTTACAGCCCCTTCGCACCGGTGCTCTTGACAAGTCCTCATTTGCCTCTCATCGTCTTCCCATCCTACTCACGAAATGAAGGTCATCTGCGGGCGTGTTGCAGCTAATGAAATCCCACAAAGTACAAGGCTCAAACATTACCGATATTTGGTCAAGAAATTATGGGCCCCCAGTCATTGAGGTTTTCTTTTAATCCATTAAGTGTATGTAGCCTAACTAGCCATGAAATTATTATTAAGGGTGTAGAGTGCATTCGTTCAACTATATAGCCAAAAATAAAAATGTGCTTTGGAGTCAAGTATGTATCGACAGCGTGGCTTGCTTGATCGCCTCAATTATTCCAACTTCTGAAAATATTAGCAATGAGTTTGAAGATGTAGCTGCCCTTCTAAAGTATTCCGAGAGACTATCATCCGACCGCTACAGAGGTTATTGTACCAAAAGACAAGTACTCTATGCGTTCTTATTCTTTTTAACACTCCTCGCTTGTCCACTCCTCGATATAGACTGGATGTAGGGTGGAAAATGTTGGTACAGTCTCGAAAGAGATTGTGTGACTTTGAATGACTTAGACTTATGTATCAAAAGTACCTTGTACTGTGGAGTTCTCAATGGACATTGTAAGTATAGGACCCCTCATGGATTGCGTTTGATTCGATACCACCTCTGTAGGCTCTAGGATGAGAGCAGAAGGTTCGTAGGGGAGACTCCCGACAAGTATTGAGTCTTCGTTTCTCGTGACAGAATTTCGCAGAGCTGAGCTTTGCGGGATATTGTTGATTAAGTTGTCACTGGACTGCCGGACTTGTTACAATTCCACATATAATTTGTTTTCGTCATTATGCTGGTCATTTAAGTGGGAGGAGACTTATCTGAAACTTGATTGTAGTTAGCTTCATCCGGCCCGACCCCACTCGTTCTAAAGCTCTACTATGAGAGTAGTGGACCCCAACTACCAAGCATATAAAGATAAAATTACAGGGTGGAGAGTGGAGATTGTGGAACCTTCCGCGGTGTCTTCTACTACAACGGTGATGAAATAATATTCCTATGCCGAACTCAGTCTCATGTCGCTATACCCGCGAGGCATTGATTCAACTCTCCACCAGATAAATAATTCATTCCCAACAAGACCATGTCAAGTCTATAATTACGATCTAGAGTATCTTCACTTCAATTTCTTGCCTCTACTAGCCTCCAAATACACGCTCGCGACCATTCGAATATCCGCAAAACGACACAAAATTGTCGAGGTGGGTCTTAGGCACGGCCATCAGAGATATGACAATTTATCTGTTAGATGATGCTAAAGACGTATAGCGTCTAGCAAGAGTTAAAACTCTGAGTCTGTACGAGTTTTGAACACTTAAGAGCATAGTGTG